CTGTGTTTCTAACAGCAGTTATTATGTGCTGACTATTCAGATTATAGGTCACCTTAACAATAATCATTCAAGAGGAGTTAGTTATGTTTCTTTTGTTCAGCTGAAGCATATTGTATAACCCTTCTTTTACAAGAATGGAATGACACAAATTGTGCTTTTCCCTGGAGATCTCTAAAACTGATTTAACTTTGATGCATTCTCTTCTAAAAGCATATTCGGGCCCCCCTGCTGCTTTCATGGCAGATTTTGAAGTTCAGTATATTCACTGACAGTAAGGGTCAGTGTTTCAGGGGCTAAGTGCTTCTGCCTCCTGGAAACACCCAGACAGCATTTTCTGCATCTGCCTTCATGCAGTCAAAGCTCAAATTCTAACTGGGAGAAGTTAAGATATTCTAAAGAGACATGTGTCTCTCAATCTGACTTACTCTCAGAATATTGAAAAAATGGACCCCAGAGAAATGGGAATTTATCCCAAGAATCTCATTCTGGGAGAAGGAAATGTCCCAACCTGAGGGTCACTTGTCTCTAGTAAATTCATTTACACAGTTATTACAGCTTACCAGACTACCTCATAGGATGAAACGGAAGCCCAGACAAGGATGGGTCAGTGGTGGACAGGGCAACATATTGACCAGGACTGTTTAGATGCGCATGTCCTTGGCCCTCTGCTTAAACTTCAATAATATTTCAGGACCCCAAGGAAAACTTGGGGTATTCATTGTATCTCTTTGTTCTTTTTCCCAAGGTGGCTATAGTGAATAGATGTCCTTTATCTGCTTGCTACTATTAATTTGACTTCTTAAATTGGCTTACTGAGGGTAAGTGGTTGAACACAGTGTGGTGCAAAGGCTGTGAACCAAAGTACATTAACACACTAACACTGACAAAGAGAGCCAACAGTATTTCTGCAATTCCTGCCTCTTTCCTAGAAATCTCTTCTTAAAGCATCCTGCTTTAGTCTGACTTTAAACAGGATCTATTTTTGTAAGCTTCTTATTGGAATATTCATTTATTCAGAATCCTATAAATTTCTATTTACTAGAAAGACTGTGAAAGGACATGTTCTTTTTAGTTCTACAGTCCATAATCAGTGTTACTACAGATGAGATAGATATCACTACTTAGGTCAGACCACAGACTCCCTAGCTGCTTCTCTCTATCCCAAACATCAGGCCAGGCACATCCTCCAGTAGTCTCTTTCTCAATGCCAAGTACAGGGAGCTGCTGTGACCTTGCACCTCTTATTAAATCTCTCCCCCTAGACATACGCTTTGCAACTTCTAGCACTTAGGCCAGGTCATATGGGATGAAACATAGCTCCTGAAACTCTCCAAACCTGGGAGAGATAGGAACTCTATTTACTGAATCGAAAGTTGTTGCTTTCCAGGATTCCATAATGTTAAGCAAGGCATCTATCTCCTCTAATGCTCCTCCGCCTTCAGCATCTTATCATGGGTTTTTATGACCTTGAGCCTAAAACTTTTTTTTTAAATAAGGCTCTTCTGTGGGATGCTTTCCCTCAGTTTCCTTCCTCTGAGCCACTTTTTCGCTCAGTGGCTCAGTGTTTATAGCCTGCAGTTTGGAAAATAATTGTCACTTATCAAGCTGTGATTCCTTTAGATCTAAGAAGTAACATTTTAAGCAGATTCTCATACACTCCTATGTCAAGAACAGTCATATTTGATATAACGCTAAAGGAATTTGGATACAGATTTAACAGGGATACTAAGGAGGATTATTTGGGGGTAAGAATTTTATTAGATGACTTTTAGTTGCATGGGCACATAGAAGGACATGATGGGAGGCTCCAGAAAGAGTTTAGGCTCCAATACCATGCAGAAACAACATGTAAAAGACGAATTTAGCTCATATTAAGCCAAAGTCATAGTCTCTTTTTATAGCTCTCTGATTAAATGTAGAAATTCATAACATAATCTGAACCAGGGTAGTGTTTGAGGAACAGAAAATGTGATCAATATTCCTTTTGATATAAACTCATTCTCCAAGTGAGAAATGCGGTACATGGAAATCTGTTAACTAGGTTATATCGCGATATCTCAGGCTGTAAGGGAGTAAGGACTGCTGCAGGAATTGTGGCAGAAGCCCCAGTTTGGTTTGGATTATAAAATTACAACACAGGGCTTGGGGATTTAGCTCAGTGGTAGAGCACTTGCCTAGCAAGTACAAAGCCCTGGATTTGGTCCTCAGCTCTGAAAAAAAATTACAACAGATATGTTAGGTCTAGATTAATGAAGAACATAAAGTAGTCCCATGATCAAGCATGTTTGTGCTTAAGGGAAGTTGCCACACAATTCTTTCCCTCGTTGTACTATGTAAGAATGCCATGGTTGTTCCTGTCCTCTGCAAAGATTTGCAGTTGGATTTTTCTGGATATCACATCATATACCTGAGAGAGTTTCATAATGTGGTCCGGGTTACAGAACAGCATTTGATAGAAGAGATTTAAAAACAAGATAATTTTGTGTTCATACATCGAATTCAACAGCCATTCTCAGGTGGATGTTCTCCTAATTATCTCAATTTTCTTAAGACTAACAGGAGGATCATATTTGTATTTACCTGGTAAGTTTTGTCAGTGTGTTTATCATATTCAGAGAAATAGCTTAAAATTATAAATTGGTGTGGGGATAAAGACCATGGGAGCATTATTACTGCCACCAATCCATCCAAACAACACCTATTAAGTACATAAACTTTGGGTAAGTGAACAGGAGGCTTAGTTGATTATCTACTTTCTAAATTACATAGTGAAGTAAGTGAAGTCAATAATTTCATGATGAGGCATGATTTGTGAAAATTTTCTAATAAAAGATTTTAAGTATGAGGGCTGGAAAGATGGCACAATGGGTAAGAGCACTTTCTATCAAGCCCGATTACCTGAGTTGAATCCTTAGGGTCCATGTAGTGGAAGGAGAGAATGAGATGTCCTTTGAACTTCACTTGTGTTGACACACACACACACACACACACACACACACACACACACACACACTAAATAAAAGTCAACAAAAAGTTTAATAAAAATGTATTTTGAGTATGAAGGTGCAATGAAGTGAAGAGGAAATTCAGTGGTAGTTGGTTGAAATAGGAGGAGAAATTTAAAATAAATTAGGGTACACCAGATCTCAACTTCTGAAATATTAGCTACAGAAGTAAGTGTAATTTTCCTTCTTTGCAAGTATTAAATATTGTTCTTTTAATTATCTTAAAAATACTATTCTACAATTCATATATTAGATAACTGCTTATTAATTCACTTGATATATGATATGCATATATATTATACACATATACACACATATACACACAGCAGAATGCAAGTGCTGGGAATTACCCTTGGGGCATCATGCATGATCATATATGCTACATCAGTCTTCTACTGCTGAACTAACTCCAACTGAATTTTGACACTAGAGCTTTGTCTTTTATAGGTATGTTCGGCAAAAATTTGTTCTTGGTTTTTCTGAGTTTTTTCTTTCATTTCTTGTATTTTTTGATCACGCTATTTTTTTAACTTGATGGATATCACAAGGGCACTTACACATATGAACATTTTGTGTTTTTACCATATATACTCTACCCACAATGCTATTTTATTCTTCCTCTCTTTTCTCCCTTCACTGAAAAAAGCTGACCCTCTAATTTCAAGCCATCATTTTAAGCTTGCAAAAGTGAGAGAAAGCTTGATACAATTATGCAGCATTTAGTGCATTTTGCACAATATAAAACCTTTAGTTCAAACTATTTTTCTCCCAAAGACACATTCTTTCCTACATATGACAAAAATCATCCCTCCAATATTCTAATAATGTATTTTGAAATGGTAGATAAATTTAACTGATTGCTAACCTTTCGAAGAAATACCTTTGCACAAATAATTTATTCAAATGCAATTGTTTTTAAAAATAAATAACACCACAAACTTTCTATGCTTTTTTATTATCAATGTCTCATTCTCCTATGATGTCTTTGATATTTCTTTTCCAAAATTACACACACACACACACACACACACACACACATTTAGAATACTCATGGTTTAATAGTTAATAAGATTTAATTCCTATCATTAAAGACTTAAAAGCGTGATATAAATATTGTAAATATGCATTTTAGATGTGGGGTTTTGTTTAAAAATACAGAACATAAAGAGATTGGGTTATATTCATGTGTAAAAAAAGTATGTAAGAAATGTCTCACAAAATACCTTTAACCTGCTTAGTCTTGCAGAATAGGTATTCGGGTAAGAAAAAATTTCAAAGGGACTGGACAGATATAGCAATGATTCATTTACATATGTATGAGTTAGAATATATATTTATGTGTATACATACATATATACATACACATAAATATATATATTAGCTAGTTAGTTAGAAAAAATACCAAATAAAAACAGCATCAAGTGAAATATGGGCTTAGTAAGAATACGAAAAAATACTATAATACAATCTATTTCAGAAGGTATAATTTTTACAAAAACATGAGTTTTACTGTTATTAAAATTTTGCTTTAAAAATATTTATTTTAAAAAGTTATTTCTTTACGTTTTGGAGATTATAATATAATTATACCATTTTCCTTTTCCTTTTTGTTTTCAATGACCCTCTCATGTATCCTTCCTTGAATTTTTCAATAGTTGCTGTTACACACATGTATGTGTATGTGTATGTGGATGCACATGTATGTGTCTATTCTCTGTGTGTGTGTGTGTGTGTATACATCTGGGTGTGTACTCATGCAAACATAAGCATAACTACTTCAGTCTGTAACATGTTATTGCATGTATGATTTCAGGGCTCACCATTTGGCCCTAGATAAACAATTGATGTGTTCTACCAATGGTGAAGATGACTTCTCGCCTTCTCAGCATTTCATAGTTTCTAGTAGTTCTTATAACAGAGTTGAGGCCTCCTGGACTATAACATCCACTTCTGCCTTGTTTTCACAGCTTGGATCACAGAACCAGCTCTAAGGAGATGCCCCTCACAAACAGCACCAAAATTACAGAATTCATTTTACTGGGGCTCACGGATCGCCCAGAACTGCAGCCACTCCTCTTCGTGCTGTTTCTGCTGGTTTACCTTGTCACTGTCTTAGGCAACATGGGCATGGTGGCCCTGATCAGCCTGGACTCCCGCCTTCACACGCCCATGTACTTCTTCCTCAGTAACTTGGCATTTGTGGACCTGTGCTATACATCAACTGCAACCCCACAGATGTTGACTAATTTCTTATCAGACAAGAAAACCATTTCCTTCATTGGCTGCTTTATCCAGTGCTACCTTTTCATTGCCCTTCTCCTCACAGAGTTTTACATACTGGCAGCCATGGCCTATGACCGCTATGTGGCCATATGTAATCCTCTGCGTTACAGTGTGAAAATGTCCAGGCAGGCCTGCATTTGCTTGGCTGTATGTCCTTATGTCTATGGCTTTTCAGATGGGCTATTCCAAGCCATCCTGACCTTCAGTATGACCTTCTGTAAATCCAATGTCATCAATCATTTCTACTGTGCTGACCCACCACTCATTAAGCTGTCTTGCTCTGATACTTATATAAAAGAACATGCCATGTTAATATCAGCAAGCTTTAACCTCTCCAGCTCCCTCACAATAATTCTGGTATCTTATGCCTTCATTATTGCTGCCATCCTAAAGATCAAATCAGCTGAAGGAAGGCGCAAGGCATTCTCTACCTGTGGTTCCCACATGATGGCTGTCACATTGTTTTATGGGACTCTCTTCTGTATGTATGTAAGACCGCCCACTGACAAGACTGTTGAGGAATCCAAAATAATAGCTGTCTTCTACACCTTTGTAAGTCCAATGCTGAATCCATTGATCTATAGCCTGAGGAACAAAGATGTAAAGCAGGCATTGAAAACAATACTCAGGCGAAACGTTAACAGGACAGCAATGATGCCTCCATTTTCCAATAAAATACAATTATAATTTTGTGACAAATGTATTTATATTTGTATGCTTAGATCTTTTTTGTTGTTTTTGTCAATTTCCTACATTTGTAAAATGTACTATTATTACATCTATACCCTATTTTCACCTTCCCCCACATATTCCCCATGTCACTTTCAAGTAATTTTTCACACACATACACACACACACACACACACACACACACACACACACACACACACACACTCACACACATTTTGAATAGTAGCTATTTGGAGAACATCTTCATTTCCTTATTTAGTGTTGATCTTAACCATGTTATTCATGGATCAATGATAGTCAGTATACATAGTTATTTTGTCTAGACTGAGAATCATCTTGGAGTAACACTGGTTGGTCTATCAGTATAGGCATTTCCAGAGAGATTGAAGTGAGGCAAGAAGACATGTCTATGAGAGGAGTAGCACCATCCAATGGCTTGAGATTCTGAACTTAATGCAAAGAAACACAGAAGGAAGCATGTTCACAATCACTCAACTTAAGTGAATGTGAACACAAAGTGACCAAGCCACCTCTTTCCTCCCTCTATGCCTTTCCACTATGGGGACTATATACCATCTTAAACCATGAACCTGAATAAGACCTTCTTCCCTTATGTTGCTCATGTCAGACTTTTTCCTCACACAGAAGTGCACAGCTAGTAACAAACTAGCAACATAGATATCACTGAAAGAGCTATTAAAACTTTCAATCATATTCCACCTCAGATCTATATTCAAATCTGTACTGTAGACAGATCCCAAGGAGACTGATAGGCACATCAGATTTAGAGGAGAAATAGTCTAAGTGAAAACTTCCAAGTGCTGTGACAAGGGATCTTCCTGCATCCCTCTGGGACATTTGTTTACAAAAGCTAACAGGATACTCAGTCTTTTCAGTTCAGTTCCTTCCACTGATAGACCCATAAGACTTTCTGATGAAGGACATTTAAGAAACAATGGTACATCTGTACTCCCCCTCTCCTACTCACTAGTGAAAATGAGGATGTGAATCATGATGGTGTTTTTCTGTTTCTAACTGATGTGCTTCTATAGGGAAGGAGTCATGAAAGAAATGTGAAACTGATCAATTATGCTGATGTTTTTGTAGATGTAAGACTGGTGATCCAGGTCTCTGCCTTTTGTAAACCTAAGATTACAATGTTCTGTTAAGATTAGGGGCTTACAGATGACTTTGGGTTTCATCATCTTCTGACAATAGAGAGGAGGTTGACCTGAGAGTAAAGACTGAAATCAGAAAGGAATAAATACAGAAACTGAATAATCAAAAGTTACAGCAGATACTGATTGCTTTGCATTGACTATTCCTTCTATTCCAAACTATGATTAGGAATGTAATGTTTGTTTTATCTTTCATAAGTGCAAATAACACATGCCACACTTATATGTAGTATGGTATTGAGAGCTGTACAAGCAAGGGAATATATTTCTTGGCCTAAACAAAAACATCAAAAGAATACAGTACACATTTGTCTTCAGGAAATCCCGAAGCATGAATGAATTAAGACAACACAGATCAGTCTCATCAAAATATCTAACTGTTCAAATATGCTAAATGTATTTGAAAGGACACTCTGCCATTAGAACAAGATAAAAAGAATACCTTCATTTAATACTTACTCTGTTACTTATTAAATGTTGTATTGTTAATAGCTCTGTGATTTTTGTCATTATTGTTTGTTTAGAATTTAGACCCAAAGAAACAGGTAATTCATTACAAATAAATGGGAACAGTTTTCAGAATCATTGTCAAGCATGTAGTTGTATTTCAATGTCAAAATAAAAATCAAGACTCTAAGGTCTTTTGAAATCTTAGGTAACCCTGACTACACATTAAACTCATAACAGGTTATTTAAATACAAGCTTCTTCTTTTGTCTTGCAAATGAGGTTCTCTTTCTTACTAATTCTACTAAGGACTTTTATTGGTTTTTCTAGATCCCTTAACATTTGTCACTGTCATTGGTGAGTAAAATGCTTCCATTCCTTTCTCACATTTCCTGGTTTCATTCCTTTGTCCTTCCTTATTGAACATTGTTAGAGTGATTGCATGATGCTGTGGAGAGGAGACAGTTATTTCTCCTTCCTCATCACTGTGGTACATATTTAATTTACAGCCAGAGATCATGTAGTTATCTATATTACATACATTTAAAAATTATTTTATTGTGTTTTCATTGTACATGATATATTTTGGTACATAAAGGCATTTTCCTACAAATAGTTGATGTACATTGACCGTATTGCTTATCTTCCTTCCAGTTACCTGTTCTTACTCTTCCTTTTAGTATTAGGCCCTTTGGTCCCCTATAAAGCTTTCATCAGTACAATATATGTATACCATCCTAGCTTTTCCTTCCTTGCTGATACACTTCATGTTAGACGAGGTTATGATAGTGAAATAGAATTTCTGCATGCACTATTTGTCCTATGATAAATCTTTTTAGTTGATGATAAATTTGTTAATATATTTTGTCTTTATGAGATAAAAATCAACTGAAAATTGTTATAGCAGCAATGAACATTATTAAAGAAAGTTATTACTTCCTACTCAAAGGAATGAAATCTTCCTGTAGGTAAAGACATGACAATATCTCTTCAGTTAAGAGCTAATCCAGTTGGGAAAGTCAGTGATTGGGAAGGACTAGTGACCCTAGGAAAGTGGCTTCATCTTAAGCAATACTAAAGAGATAGTAGAAATAATTAACCTCTTAATGAGACAATGTACTTTTTCTTCCTAGAATGTCTGCCCCTAGTGAAATCCATATAATCCTCTATGAGGTCCTACTGTGTCTGACCCCCTTTCTGAGTCCTGACTCAGAAAAGTATACCTTTTCCTTATTCTTCTTTCATATCTTTTTGTTGTAGAGACTAGATAGAAGCTAAGCATGCTTTTTCTGATACTCTGGAGTTTCTTACTCTTTCTCTAGAGATCTATTCCATACTCAGTGGCTACGTGTGCACCACGTGGTTGACTTACATGACAGAGTAACTAAAAACGGTATGGCTTTTCTCCTCTTTTTATTCTCTTTCCCCAGGTAGCTGCTGGGATTTATAGTTGGCCTGCCCTAGGGTTGTTTTCTATGTTTAACTCTCATAAAATTGCCCTCAAACTTCTATTTAAGTCTGTTCTTATATTCTTGGATTAATGAGATTAAGAACCACAAGGGAAGACCCTAATTTCCCTGGTGTCATATGGCAGCTCTTGTGGAACTCCCCAGAATTTTCAGTAGCAGAATAAAGTTGACTACATGTCCTGAAAACTTACTTAAAAATAGATTTTTATGTACAGTAGAAAGTATATGTACTATGTAATTCTATTAACTGGCAACTTTTATTTAATATTAATGTGAGAATTATCGTAGTCTCCATTAATAAGTAATGTAGCCATTCTACTTCTATTACTCTATTTATTACATGTTTCTGAATTCTAGCCCTTACTTTATTGTTCATAAAATATTAATTCTCTGAATCTAAGCCTAACGAATTAAACTAGTGGTTCTCAACCTGTTTAATCACAACCCCTTTGGGGGTAGGATAAGCTTTCACTGTTGTCCCATATCAGATATCCTCCATATCAGATATTTACATTATGATTCATGACAGTAGCAAAATTGAAGTTACAAAGTAGCGATGAAAATAATGTTAGGGTTGGGTGGCCACCACAGCATGAGGAATACTATTAATGGGTCATAGCATTAGGAAGATTGACAACCACTGCATTAAACTAATTTTACTATAGCTATATGCATAGTCTTGTCAAAATAGTAATAATTTTATTAAGGGCATTTCGTAATTTAGCAGCATAGCTGCTATTTTTGGAGAAGGTTTGTAGAGCACACATTTCAACAGTAGAGAAATCTTAGATACATCAAAGTCCATGGATTGTGGCATAATGTTATACCATGATTAATTTTTCAACTCTTCTTGCAAGAAATATTGAGTTATATAAAAATCCCGTAAGTATCAATTCTTGAGCAACTGAAACTTCCAGCTGAAGTTGATTACAAGGTGATACAATTTCATTGCTCAAATCCCAAGGTTCTAGTGAGTGAATATCTATACCAATTACTATTGTTCCTTAATTAATTCTTTGGGGTGTGTTGAGAGATAATTTTGGAGATAAAAGATACAGGTTACAAATTGGATACAAATCATTTTCAAGAGCTTTATTCTTGCTAGTGTCTGAGAGAATTTTTCCTAGGGAAGGTAGGAATAAAATTATGACATTTTTGTTCACACCTTTGCTTTTATATCATTTCGGATATTTATCAATAAAACAGTGTTAATGCTAGTCTTGGCTCTTTTCTAGATGAAATAAGTATGTGCTTAGAATTTGTATTAGTCATAAAATGTTAAAAATTTATTGGAATTATGTATTTGTAGTAATCATATTACTACACACATAACTTTTATCATTCAATCAAGAATTAAAAATATACACTAAATAAGCATGTGAGAGAATATACTAGAATTAATCATATCAGTGGTATTTTCATAATAATTTTTTGAAAGAGTACACACACACGCACTTCTTCCTTGATGCTCACAGAATATCTTATCAAAATATCACAAAAATTAAACAGTAATTTTATTCCTCCTATTAAAAAAGTTACTGTAGAAATGGAAAAGTCACTTAGTCACGCTACGTGATTGGAAGAGAGTGTTATCTACAAGATAATTTACTTTTTCTTCATCTGGCTCATTTTTTAACATAAAACTCTATACTTACATATATTTTCCTACCAATGACAGCACTTCTTATTCCATATGATGAAATAAATCTCATCAAGGAGCAAAATAAATTAACCACTGTGAAATGACTGTGAATTTAATTGAAGGGTAAGCTTTCTAAGAAATTCCATTGTACACAAAATTTTTAAATTGTAATTGTTCCTCCATTGTACACAACATCACAAAAACCGTTAAAATTTTTTGTTCATTGGCAATAATTCCTACTTCTTGGAAAACTTTTGCTTGT